TATATATATATATATATATATATATTTGCTTTGCTTGTGCTTTTAAAACAGTTTTTTCTGACAAAGTCATAAGTCAAAAGTTCCCACAGACCGCTGTAGTATTTTCAGACACGCTTAGGGAAAAACACTGCATCCTATTCAGGTGAGTCAGCCTGAACATTTTCCTAAGAAGTTGGAATTTGGATCAACATGGGACCTCAGCAGAGCCACCGTCCAGATGCAGGATGGAAAAGCAGCGAGATTTCAAATTGTGCTGGGCTTCCAGCACAATTTGGAAGCCTAATGAACTGATATTCCACAATTTGGAATATCAGTTTATTGGAATAATGAACTGATATTCCTGGACCCTTTGATCACCAGGACCAGATGGAATGCATGTGTGACTGAACTGAAAAGATTTTTCGTAAAGCGTCTCGAGACGACATTTGTTGTAAAGTAACGCTATAGAAACGAACTCAACTGAATTGAGCTCTGATTTAAGTTACTACCAAGGTGTTGCAGGTCAGACATATGTACACCATACATGTAACTTCATTAACACATCACATATCAGAATAACTATTTTGATTAAATGCTGTGTTCAAAATGGATTTACAAAATTAATTTTAAAAGAACCTAAAACTTCTCTTAGATTCATGTAGCCAGCATGATGATGATAAGACAATCTTGCACAACACAGTAAGTCTGCTGTGAAACATAGCGATGGCTATGATGAAGAAACTTCAAGGCGATGGTGGAGGTAAACCTCATTGAGGCTGCAGAAGACTTGAGCCGAGGGTGGAGGTTCACCTTCTATGAGGACGACGTCCCTAAAACTGCAGCCGGTTCTTCTCTGGAATGGTTTAGACCAAATGAAGGCTCTTCAAGTGCTGGAAAGTCCAGGACGAATCCCACTTGAAAAAAAACTAAAGACTGCACAGAATCCACTCCCTATTCAGGATAACTGTATCATTTTCTTTCCACTTCACCCGTATGCACCACTTGTGTTAGTCTTTTACATAACACCTCAATGTACATTTAGGTTTTGTGGTTGTTATGTAGCCAAATGTGAAAAAAGTTCTGTAGGGTACTCTACACTGGTTGTTTGTCCACTACATTTGCTAAATAAATGGCAGAATAAACAGTCCTTGGCTTGTTGTTCATAAGCAGCACCAACAAACGAACCCCTCATTTACTGAAACAACTGCAGCAGAAGAGTTCTAGCTCCTCACTTTAGATAGTTTTGCTAAATTAGATTTAGAAAACATTATAGAGATTTATGAAAGAAATAGAAAAATGGCCAGTTGGGTAACTATAGTGAGGGAATCTAAAGAAAAACAGCTTTTAAGGTACTTCAGAGAAATGGCAGTGGATTATCAAGAGTAATCACCACGTATGTGTGGAAGTACGGGGTGGTAAAGGAACATTCCTCCACCTGCAAGCAGCACAAAGAGAAACACAGTCATAAGTGTTTCATTGTGACAGGAGTAAATACTAAGAGAACAGTTTTTTGTTGTGCTGCCGGTACCAGCAGGTGTGGAAATGGTTGGAAAGAGGCTCCTGAAAACAATCAGAATGTGGCAAACTGAAATTTATAACAATGTCTTTCTTTATGTCAGTTTAAACTAAACCTATACAAAAAGTAAGTGTGTGTTCACTACTTGGATGCCTGTTTTATTCTTATGAAATGGCATCACATTTGAAAGCAAAGTGCATTCTGTAGGGTAAGCAACTGATTTCTTGTCAAATCTTGTCTTCCAAGGCCAAACAGATAGTTTAGCTCTTAGCTCTTGTTTTGAGCAGTCAGTTATCTGACCCAGCTGACTCTCCTACGGCAGACTGTCAGTGTGTGTCCCCAGCAGGTGAAGCCTTGTATCATCTTGACATTGAAGGACAAGTACAGCGGACCCTCGCCTATTACCGGTTTAGTATTCAAGGATTTTATTTTTTGTGGAAAGTATTTCCAAGTTATTTGTGGAAAATTAAAAAAAGATAGCAGATTTTTTTTGTAGAGTATATCTAAAATACTTCAAAATAAAATTCAGCTTTGGAAGCTGAAATGCCTTGACGTAAAGCTACTTGACATCCTATCGGCTTACAAGACAGCCAATCCCAGAGCTCCATTCATTTCCCTTGCTGATGATAAATTTGTACCCAGGACAAACGCAAAAGAGCCAGCTAGCTAGCAAGGGAATGTTAGCAGTGTCTGCATGTGACTCAAACTTTTGCCTGACAGAAAAAAAAAAAATACCTAGACTACACAAAATTAAATAGTTCTGCCAAGACAATATATAACACCTATAATTAACATATTTAAGGACAGCTTATTTTTGTAAAATTAATTTGAATAATTTTAAGGTCTTAAGTTTAGTAAGATAAATTTAAGTGAAGACCTGCCTGTAGCACATTTTTACAGACTTAGCTCAATTAACTCTGCCTTTTGCCCGAAGCATTGTTACAACATTGTTAAATGTCCTTCCTTTTTGCGCTAAATTTACTTTTACTACTCCTTTTTGTTACTGTCATCCTTCTAAAAGTGTCACTGCACAGCCCTGACCTTGAATGCAGCATGCCAGGAATGGCTTGGCTCGCTGCATTCATGTGTGATTAGGCCAGGCTTGTTGCCTCAGAGGCTGTTCAGCCCCCAGGCTAACATTCATCCTGGGTACTGCGGCTGCCATTAAGATGGGTTACACACATTTTTCCTGAGTGAACTCTTGCGACTGGATTTAGTCTGCAGCTGCATCACACAATCAGCTCTTTAAACAGACATGAATATTGGAGATTTTATTTACAGCAATTTACAAACATACCTCAAGTTCAGATGTTCAAATGATGCAACACAGCATAGGTTCAGTAGAAGAGCAGCACAATATGTCAAATTACAAGAGCTGTAAACTGCATTAATGTAATCTTTGTAATATTTAAATGTGCTATTCTGAGTTCCACCATTTGATATTATTTTATAATAATATATTGCATGGAGTGGCGACCTGTCCAGGATGTACCTGGCCTCTCGCCCATTGACAGCTGGAGATAGACACCAACACCCCTGCTGATTCCAATGGGTTACGGCTATAAGAAAATGGGTGGATGGATATTTGTACATGTGGATGAACTACATATATCAAGCTAGCTACCATTAGTATTTTGTACTTTCAAATATTCCAGCAACATTTTCCCTGAAGGAGGCGTTATAGTCCTTTGTGTATGAAAAAAACTTGGCAAGATACATGTAGAAAGGCAGAGTGCAACAGTTTTTACTCTGATCATCAATCAAAAGCAAATATACATCAAATATATTGATCAATGTTCCAGTTATTAGGAACCAAAGGCAACTATAAACAGGTTGGTCTTTAGACGTGAAATAAAGGAACTCAGTTTTTCAGTTGTTTTGCAGTTTTCTGAATGTTTGTTTCAGATTTGCAGCACATATACAATACAACTTAAAGGTGACTGGGGAATATTTGCATTCCATATTGCACAGGTGGGTATAATATACACCTGTTGCCATGGAAGTGACTGGAAATCTCCAATTTAATGATTCAGAAGGATGAACAAATGATTTGGTAATATAGTATAAATGTGATTCCAGTAACTGAAAACCAAAATGCTTAAAACATATCAGTCTACTGCATGATTATTTTTTCTAATATACAATGTAACAAACTCAATTATAACAAATATTGAGTTTGAATTATTTCCCCTTTCAATCTGAAGCAGTAGATTGAACAATCATAATACTAAATATCCTATCAGAATTAAAACCTTTAAATATTTTTAGTTTATGAGCCCTCATTGGAAACATTTCTTTTGTGTGTTAAATCCAGTTTAGAGAAGGAAGCTGGTTTTCACTACTTGGTTTGTGGAAAAAAAATAAATAAATAAACTTACTTTGCAGCTATTTAAAGACTCTGAGAGATGTGGTTACATATTACAACTCTGATGAAGATGTTTCCACAATTTGCAACACAGCTGTCAATTCTCATATCTTTGCATGAAATTAAAAATAATATGGAGACAACAGTGATAGAAATACGTGTGGCACCAGGGAAACTGCAACTTCCAACCTATTTTAAACCTACAGTATCTTTAACACATTTTTTCTTTTTGTTTATCCTGTTTTTTTTTTTTTTTTAATTAGAAACAGTTCAATTAGAATAGAATAGAGTATACTTCATTGATCCCCCAGGGATAATTGCTTATTTGCTTACAAGCTGCTGCATCCAAGGTGTAAATGTTATGTAAATGCTAATGTTGACAAACCTGAGTCCTAGAAAAGGAAAGGATTTTCTATTCTGGGAGATGAGCCAGAATTAGCCTCTTGGCCTGTGGCACATTCACAGAAATGTCAATTAATGTGCATTGTCCCTACCAAATAAATTATATTAAAGTTCCTTGGATTGAAATCCAGTGACCTGCAGTGTGTGGATCAGTCCTTCTCCTCAGGAACGACAGTCAGCAGAAAGTCCCCGTCGTTCCTTCTCACCACCACAGGGAGCGCAGTGCCACTCTAGACGGCCTCACTGACTTCCTGCTTGGTGTAGATCGGCCTCCCATCGATGCTGATGATGACATCATGATCCATCATCCCAGCACTGCATTAAAAATATGATTAAAAAAACAAAACAAAACAAAACAAAACAAAACAAAACACTGCATCAATTGCAGATTAGTCGTTAGCAGAAAATAACTACTGATGAAAACTTTTCCTGCGCTTAAACAACACAACCTGATTTCACAGCAGCGTAAATCCATAAATCACTTCCATATATTTATCTGATGCAGCTTATCTCATTGAGATCCAAGAACGAGTTTAGAAGTTACACCTGTTTATGCCAATCATTATGGATTATAGGAATCCACTGGATAAAATGATACGGAGAGTTAAAATAGGCAAAAACTGGAATAAGCAGGTCAAAACTTTACAGGCACTAGATATCAAAAATCGATTGATGAATATCTACTTTTCACTCATCCGTTGATTAAAAATGTTGCATTTATTGTGAAATAAAAAAAACAATTAAAAATATAACTCATAGGAATTCCAAACATTGATTTCAAAAGAAAGAGCTGCTTTGTTCCGTTGTCATCTAAACTGTTTTTACAAATAGATTCATTTTTGCAGCCTCCACCTGTCTTCTGTTTGTGAAACATGGAGACAGTCAGCGGCCTGTTTCTGCGCAGTAGACTTCTGCATACAGACGGAAAGCATGTGATCTGTCAGCGGAGGAAGGCGGCTGCGCGGCGCAGCACGGCGGGCCACTCAGCGTCGTCATGGTAAATCAGCAGACTCTACTGTACAGCTCACCCCACTGCTGCTTGTGCTTCAGAGCTTCAGGCTTCAACGTGACAGAAAGAACAGAGGACTATTAAGAATATAGAGCAGAAAGCAAGGCAGCGAGAGACCCCCGCCTCACCAGGAGAAAGATGTCAGCGCTCAGCCTGTGGGAAGAAGAAGTTTAATGAGAACAGCGGACCGCGGCTCAATCTGGAGCCCCAACAACAGCAGAGTTACTCTTATTCTTTTTTTCTTGGAAAATACCCAGAGGCCTCCAGATGCCAGGTTCACAGCTCTGTTGTTGCCTTCAGTAAAGCCAACACAAGCTGTGACTCTGCACTTCACTTATTATATCTAGACAGCGCTTCCTAATAAGAAGCGTCCCAGCAGTAAGCTGCGCTGCTCTACTTTTAAAACAGGCAGATTCCAACTTCTGTCAGCGCCTCTTGGGCTGAACCGATGCAACAGACTCTTGCAGGCGACATGTGAACAAGTGACGTTTTCTCGGCGTGTGTTTGGGTGCTCTGTTTAATCTAACAAGTCTCAGCGTTGAAGAATTGTGGGAGGTAAAAGTTTCTCACTTCTTCTCAGCTCAGCAGTAGAAAACCAGCCTCCTGACTTCAGTGTGCTAATAAGTAACTACATGTTTTCATCATGAATTCATGATTTTACTTGAAAATGAACTGCTAAAGCTTGATCACTGTACCAAATATTAGTTGTTCTGCTTTTCTTTGTCACTGAACACACAGATCCGGAATGTGTACATACCTCTGATGAGACTTTAAAAAAATCTAAAATTAAAAACTGAATCATTAATTAACTTTTTCCACATTTACTTTGGCAGATGTTCCATAAAATTTAGTTCATATAAATGTATATTTGATGTGATGCTAAAAAGAGAAATTCATAACCGCCTGAACTGCAGTGTTTGTAATTTCATTAAGTGTAAAGCCGCAGTATGCAACTTTTATAGAAAATATGTTTTTTTTTGTTTTTTTACATATTTGTTAAAATTATCACCATGTCGTGACAGAACAATATGAGAAAGATAATGTGTGAAAATATCCATGAAGTATTATTTCCGTCTGAAGAAATGCACGGCCAAAAACAACCAATCAGAGCCAGGAGGAGGGGCTTATTGAACGCAACCAGTGCTTATTGGAAGTTCATGAAGATCCTTCAATGCCTCTAGGTAGCCTTGTTAAAAAGTTTCCATTTTGTTTTTCTCATCACTGATTAAGAATGGAGCTCCTTTTTGTTGTATGTACACCTGAACTTCAACAGACCAAAAAAATCGCATTTTTTAAAAATAATTAATCAGATTTTTTTTGAATGAGTGTGTGGACTGGTGTGTTTTCTACAGGTTGTGAGTTCAAACAGATAAAATGAATCCAGGTAATGGATTAATTACCTGGTAGGAAAACTAACAGGTGTGTTAGGATTCCTGCTGGTCGGCAGGCAATCTAATACTTATTTAATTCAATTAAATGCAAAGTAATTACTTACAAATCATATGTGATTTTCTGGATTTAAAAAAAAAAGATTTGGTCTGCCACAGTCGAAGTGTTTCTATTGTAAAAACAGAAGACCTCTCCAATATTTATAATTTCACAGGTAACATGTTTATTTATGTGTACAGTGAAGCCCATAAATATTCCCTGTGGCCCCATCCGTACCTGGATGCAGCTGTTCCAGGAATAACTTCATGAATGTAAACCCCTGAACTCACGTCTGGGAATCTGTCCACATGTTCTCTGATTTCCTCAGTCAAACTGGACAGACGGAAGAGAACACGTCTTAAAAACACACAAAACATTCTGGACATGGATGGCAGTTTGACGTGTAATTTAACTTTAATTAAAGCAGTAAATGTTTAAACAAACAAAAACAATTTCCTTCTGGAGAAAATCTAAGTTACAAATCCTCAGTATTTCTGAAAAACCCAGATGAGGGGAGCAATTTAATCTCTAGCTCTTCACAAAATGATGTTTTTGTTCATAGAGTTACTTCCATGAAAAAACACATTCATAACACTGAGCAGCCCTGAACTCTGGGAGGAGGTTCAGGGATCCCTTGGTTAAATGCAAACGTCTTAAACTACAGACGACGTAGGAAGAGAGAAACAGGAAGTTCAGATGATGAGGATGAAATGTATGAAATGGATGAATCATATGTGGATATGTACTTTATGTCTGTGTGGATATGCTGTCCTTTCTAAGTCAATATGCTCTTCTTTTGCACGTTGATATTGCGTACCATGGTGCTTCTTTTGGCACAAAACTTCATGTGCATCCACTTACCCACTGGAGAGAAATAAATAATCTTATTTTATGATTTAAAATAAGACTATTTATTTTAAATCATAAAATTTAAAAATAAATAAATACCTACTGGGGAGAAATAAATAGAAATAAATAATAAATAATCTTATTTTATGATTTAAGATCACTAATCAAGAAATGAACATGTCTTAATTAGGAAAGAATGGCAATATTTCAGCTATTTTCTATTATTGGGCACAACATCACAGAGCCACCTGTTCCTCTGTAGACCATCTGATCAAAACAGTTTGAAAGAACGTGGGGAAAAAAAGTAGACCTACGATGGTGTGAGCTGCATCATACGGACACCTAAGAATTTCTTTCTGTGCTCTGGGTCACCTAGTAAAAGATAAGCATAAGAAAATGATGAAGTGTGAAAACATCAGGATGTTTTTTTTTTTTCTCAGGAGGCTGTGAACACATCTTTACCGTTTAGCTGCCTGTTGTGGAAGTCAGCAAGAAACTGACGTATTCTGTCTGAAGGGATGGCAAACGAGATCCCGGCTGTCACCTTTAGGTTATTGATGCCTATTACATCTCGTCCTGTTGATCAGAGGACAGGCAGCTGATACACCATGGCTATCACTGAAGCTACTGCTGTGTCAGACGGAGAAAAGTACAAAACCAAAAATGATTGGTTGAGTTTCTTTCTCTTCTAGAGCAAACATCCAATCAAATTATACATAAGCATCACCTTAGTTCTGAATGTTGTGTAACAGGGTATCTGCAGGTTTCAGCAAGTAACGCTTAAGAATTTTTAAGATCTGTTTGTTGCCACCATGAGTGAAATTTAAGAGAAAAAAACTGGAAAGTTTAATAAAGTTATCATATATGAGGATCCTACTGTACCGTAATCAAGCATAGCAAAAGTTGTGACATTTCTGAGGTTTTTTTGTGGTCCTTGGAAATGGCATTGGGCCTCTCAGTCTGAACCCGTACAGCGCCAAAGTTAAAAGGGATTTTTGCACAGAATCCACTTGGACTCTTACAGGTTGGCAACACAACAGAGCCAGAGCCGGAAATGACCGCTGTCCAGTCAACTGGATACATTTGTGCTAAAAATGATCGCTCCGTCTCCATTCGTGTCCTGTGGAACTCACACAATGAGATAACAGTCTGTACCTTTCCTCCAGCCAAGGAAAGGTACAGCGCTCATACACATAGATGTGCACACAAAACAAGAAAACTGAAAAATGTTCAGCTTTTGTCGGTGTTATTTGTCCCGGGTGTCAAACCTATCACCCATCATAGGGTAAGACTCAAAAAAGCCTTTAGACTCCACCAGCGGTTATATTAGCAGCTAGCCAACGGTAGACTTGACCGCCTGGAGTCACTAATCACAGTGAAGATGTGTCAGTGTGACTCAAACTTTTGTCAGCTAGAAAAGTCCTGTGAGGAAGAAAAAAATACATGAGACTAAATGGCTCTTTCATCATAAAATTTAAGACTAGTGTGGTAATGTGACCTCGGTTTTCCTTTTTTGGAGTTCTATCTATGTTTTCCTTTATATTGTTTTGATTGCTTATATTTTGAAGTTATGTATTTTCTTAGGTTTAGTTGAGTTAAACTTTTGAGTTACTGTTTTGCATGTTTTTCTGATTGGTTATTTTTGAGGTCACGTGCCCGGATACCCAGAGAGGCCCACTGCACCGGCGCAGGTGCTATGCATCTGCTTAACTAGCATGGAGATTGGGAAGGACATGAAAGAGACAAGACGCGGCTAGAAAAGACGGATTTGGGTGAGCGCGTTTTGTTGGAGCTGGAGGACAGTATATGCAGATCGGCGGACTACACGGAGAGACTGGTCGCCGTTGAGGAGCGGGCGGCCGGATCCTAGACGAGGTCCGCCAGGAATCGGAGGATTGGCCGGGTCGAGCCAAGAGGAGGCTGAACGTGGTGGAGGACCGTGCCCTTCCTTCTTTGCCCAGCTAAGGACAATTATAGACTTTCTTATTGACTGATTGACAAGGACTGCCTGCACCTCCTTCTCTTGGATTATTGTCTTTTAAATAAATTATTGTAACTTTACGGGTTTGTTTAGAAACTGTTCACAATTCCTGAAGTCATTTATTGGTACACCACTCGGATGCCACACTAGCATTTATGTATTTCAGGCCAATTTACAATTCCAATGAATTTAAGACATTTAAAGCCTTAATTCTAGATACAGGAATTTGAGATCATTTAAAGATTATCAGACACTCTGGTAATAATACAAGAAATTTATGCCCAGTAGGTAAGCGGAAAAAAACCATTACAGATAAGAAATATTATCTGTTCATAAAATAACAACAGAAATTCTCTCACCAAATTGATAAGTGGTCCACCAGAGTTGCCGTACTGTGATGTGAAACAAAATTCATGATTATTCAAAGACAATTTAGAAAAATACTTGCAAACACAGACCATGCTTGGGTTTTTGATTCTGTCTGTGTTAATGCACTCACATTTATGATGGCGTCAGTATGAATATAGTCCAGGTCAGAGTCCTTGAAGTCCAGCTCCAGGCCTTTGCGGTGAGCGCTGCTGCTGATGCCGATGGTGACGGTGTTCTGCAGTGGGAAGGGGCTTCCCACCGCCACCATGAACTCACCGGCCCAGAGGCAGCACGGCCAGCGGACCCTAGAGGGAGACGGGCGAGCTGTGGTCACTGGGACGTAGGAGTACTGCCCTCTTAATGAGTCACATAGTGGACATTTTTTCTTCTTCTTTTGTTTTTTGTTACTCTTAAAATCCTTACTATTGACATTCAAAGCTGAATCATTTTGAAGTTTACAGCAGCACATCAGTAGATGTGGGAAAGAGATTTTTGTTTATTAGTCATTTTTTTTAAGTCTTCCCAGCTCCTTTAAGAAGTCGCAGTTTAAATTGGATAGGAGATATGAAGACATTAATAAATCTGAAAATGTAGGTTATAATGAATGAATCCATCTGGGACAATTGGTGGGCTATTTGTGTATATTTTTTAGGAATCCTAACCATCATTTATTTTAGAGTACTGATTTTCCTGTTAAACTTAACTCCAAATTTGCCTATGCATCTCTGGAACCAACACTAAGCTGACATTATGGCCGCATCTCACACAGCATGCAACCCATCTGGTCCCAGCCAGGCCTCAAAACTTATACAGGGAGGTATGTCTGAAAGAAACAGCCCTGCACTGCTGGGTCCACACCCTGGTTGCTACGGGACAAATCATTTCGCCTTTATAGCACCGAGGATGTCTGTTTTCTTTCCATTTATTATGGAGGTGCTCTTGTATGCAGATCAGTACTAAAAATGGTAATGATGCTCATGCTGAGTGGAGACTGGCTGAAGTGGTGGGAAACCTGCTCCTTTCCACCACACAAAGCAGCCTGGTGTGTTTGAGGGACATGTTTTATTCAGGTCCCTGAATGGAAATCCATAAAGAAACACACATTCTACATGTTTAAAACAAATAAATGTAGATTTAGTGGGTAACCTTCACACAGTCACTGGTTAGATAAAAACTAGATAGAAAGAACAAAACTGCATCCAACCAATTCAGTAATATCTATCTGTCTGTCTGTCTGTCTGTCTGTCTTAAAGTGAATCTGAACAGTAGCTATTGATCATTTGACTTGTGATGTGAAAAAAATTGTTTCCATTGAAATTTACTTTAATGCAGCTGAAAAACCTCATCCTATCGCAAATACTTTTTATGGAAAAAGGCGTTTTTCCAAATTGGCGCGTTTCCATTAAGCTAATTTAAATCTAAGTTTAAATTTAAATTTGCGCAATTCTATGGTTAATGGAAACGCAGCCTGTGTCTCTAAGTAGCGTCTCACATCTGGCTCAATTTTGATGAGGCGACATCCATCTGCTCATCCACATCCTTGATTGCGGCTTCGTAATCCACACCGTTTTTCAGCTCAACCTTCACCCGCTGCTTGTTCTTCAGTACGTGGGCGTTAGTCAGAATCCAGCCATCTTCAGAGACTACAAACCCCGAGCCGCTGGACATGATCACCTCCCTGTCGGGAAATGGGCCCCTGAACACCAGGGACAGATTCATTAGTAACTGGAAGGAACATTGGTTGACGGTGTGAGACTTAACTTTCTGCCACGTTTTACCTTTGGAAGAGCTCCAGATGTGCAACAGCTGGTGCGATCTTTTCCACCACATCTGGAATGAAGTTGAATTTGTAGCGCATACTTCCTGGATGACGCATTCCTACAGGATACAAGGTATAAGACATGACAGAAAATGGATGTTGCATGGGTCAAGACTTTGACAATAAAACATCCAGTTTTGGAGAAAAGGCAAAACAGGTTTACAGTTAATCCAGGCAATGAGTGAATGACAGGAAGGTTCCTTAAGATACTAGATCTGTGAGAGACAGAGTTCCTGCCAGTTGGTTGGTGATTCAATACTTATTTCATGAAATAAAACGCATTTGTTTTAAGATTCTGTCTCTCGTGGTTAAGGTGTATCTAATGAAAATGATGTTTTTGAGTTTGAAGTTGTGGCAGTATCGTGTGTTTTCCAGTCACATATAGTCGATTTTATATCACAATCAAGTAGCTATGTTCCCATTAGTTGTTATAAAAATGTTGTACATGTGAATTATGTAATTTAACACCTTGAAATTGGGCCTCTGTCTCTTTAAAAACTCCTGCTCTGTCTGAAACTCCGCCTTCAGGAAGTCATCATATCTAAGGGTTCCTCTATTAACCCTTAGATCATGTTTTACCAGTGAGAAAGTAGCTCGTGTCATGAGCTCGCAAATACGTAATTCCACCAGGTGTTTGCTAATTACTTCTGGCTAGTCTGAAGGAACTGAGTGTGGGAGCTGCTCTGTGAGGCAAAAGCTTGGAAGCAACAGCTCTGAGGAGGGGCTGCGTCTCGAAGGCGGGGCTAAGTCCCTCCAGGCGTTTTGCACTGCTGCATGGCTGCCAAGGAGACTGAAAGATTTCTCAAACATGAAAGAATCAAAGTAACACTCCATGTCTTCTCTGTGTTTAAAATAGTCAATTTCACATTCATGGTCAATATTATTACTGCCCCTGTAAGGAGTACCTAAAATTAAAATGACATTTTTGAGTTTGGAGTTCTTTTAAGATAGCAGAGGCCTGTCTTTGTTTTGGCAACTTTGCTGTTACCTTTATCCTCTGATACTAAATATTTTAAAAGAGCAGCTGGGTTTTTTGGAAACAATTCTTTCTTCTGAACTAGCTACAAAAAGTGGTCCCAGTTTTTGCCAACAACACTTCAAGAAGCTTTCTAGCTGATTTTTGAAGTTGATCTTCAGTTAGTGCTCTTACCTACCTGCTCCTGTCCCTCTCAATCAGTTTCTTTATTTTACATCACCCAGTTTCTGACTGTTTTCAGTTTACTGCTTGCCTTAACTACTGATTACATTTTAATTGAACTGCCTGTCTGTTTAGTCGGTGGATGAACCTCCTTTTTCTCACAATGTTCCTTCCTGAAAGTCAAACTTTTATCAGGAGGATGCAGAAATGACACAGATGAGACAAGCACTCCAGAGCGACATGAAGATTGGCACATTAATTTATGCTTACATTTCAGAAAGTATCTTTTCCAGCGCTCACTTGTGAGGCGAAGTGTTTCCACATGACTGCTCAGATGAAACGGCTGGTAATTTCACTAGGATCAGTGGCTAACATTAACAAATAAAAGCTTCACTACACACTGACACTTACCATAACCACTGATGGAGAAGATGATCGAACATAAAATGAGTCAGAGATTTAAATAGCTCCTAAAGACCACTGAACCTGCAGAGGTTTGATTTCAATGTAACATGTTTTGGACTCCGGTATAACCGTCACTGGAGGACAGTGAAAACGTTTTCCTCAGCAATATGTTCAATGCTCCCCTTTTTTTTTGCAGTTTTTTGCAGTTTAAGCAGTCATCACTGTCCTTAAGGCAACAGAACGATGACGTGTTTACAAAGATGGTCAAAGCAGCATGCCTCTGCAGAAGCATCTTTACATGCAAATGATGCCGTGTGCTTTGCCGGGAGCTTTTTTTTTTTTTTTTTTTTTGGAAAAACACCAACTACTTTTTCCTGATTGCAAATTCTGTAAACCACTCAACAGCTTGCTCTGCTGGCAGAATAAACTTTTGTTTTTCCTGTCATCTCCTTTCTGCTACGACATGCTAACAAGAAGAACAGAGCATCAGATGAACCGGAAGACGCCTGCTCTAGACGTGTGATCCAATCTGCCATCAAGTCTTCAAATAGTAAAATATGAAAATCCACTAATGGGGCAGATCACACACTGAATTAATTTAACTTTTCACCTCAGATCAACAATTTTAGTCTGGTATGAAAAAAGCCATCACTGCATAATACCATTACTGGTATTAGGATGACAAACGTGTTAATCATCCATTTCCATCCCGTCATCATGTTTGTTTTCTTGTCTCTCAGAACTGGAACTTTGGTTCTTTATGAGGAAAATATGCGTGTTCTCTGAAAGGCACTTCATGAGTGCAATGTCAAAACTTCAAATTCAAAATTAATTTCAAAAATACTTTATTTTTATTGATCCAAAAGAGAAATTGAATGAATTGATTTAATTGACAAAAATTACACATTAAATATTTTAACCTAATTTACGGATACTGTTGTATGAGGTTGGCTTGGGTTAGACAAATTTCTACACATAATTTAAATAGTATTGTATGCTTTTTTTTCAGAGCTTTGTCTCTGATACGTCTAAATAAAACATAAAAAACATCTACTGTTTGTCTTGAAGGTTTTAAACAGCCTTGTCTGCCTTATTTAACAGAACCTCTCCATCTCTACACTCCCTGTCAAACACTCAGGTCTGCTGAGTCGACAGACTCCTTCACTGTCCTTTTTAAAACCTATTTATAAACTTAGTTTTACTCATTGGCTTTCAATCCAATTTTACTTAATTTTTATTGATTTCATCTTTTTAACTGAGGCATTTTATTGTATTTTAAATTGAGTTTTTAATTCATTATGCTTAGCTTTTTCACTTTATTTTTATGCTTTCTTTTCACATGACTGATGTTCAGCACTTTGCTTCAGCAGTGGCTGGTCATCATCATGACGATGACGATGAACTGAGTCAGGTTTGTTGGCCACTTTGATCTCGTACTCTTAAATTCAACCCACCTCTTCTCCACAGGACTGAGATCAGGGCTTTGCGATGGCCGCATGTAAATGTTGACTTGTTGTCCGTCGGCCATTTTGTTTCCATTCCGGCTGCATGCTAAGGATTGTCTTCGATCTGAAGATCAGTCTGCGCTCTTGCTTCAGCTTCCTGGCTGACGTCTGTGGATGGCTTTGTTTCAATATTTCTACATATTTTTTCTTTTTTTTCCTTGTGATCAGTTTTATTAAATGCACCACTTCCTTCTGAGCTCCACAACATGATGCTGCCACCACCATGCTGCACAGTTAGGATGGTACAAACATCCCAGTTTTTCCTCCAAATGTAATGATGGGCATTAAGGTCAAACTGTTCCATTTTAGTTTCATCAGATTACAGGACATGTCTCCAAAATATGAAGATGTTTTTCCCTGTGGACATTTGCAAACTGTAATCTGGCTTTAATGTTTGTTTTTTTTTGCAGTGATGGCTTTATTCTTGCAGAGTGGCCTTCCAGCCTATATCAGTGCAGGAGATGTTTCACAGTGTATGATGACAGTCGTACCAGCTTCAGGAGCATCTGCAGGTCTTTGGCTTTTGTTTAGGAGTCAATCTGCACATTTTGAGCCTACATACATTTATCTCTGGGACACAGAACTTGCCTCCTTCTTTAGCATTATGACAGTTGTACATTCCCATCATGTCTATGTTTGGTATGATTGTTTGAACTGCTGAACGCAGAAAGAATCTAGAAATTGTTTCCATGGATGAATAAGACTTGTACAAATCTCCTCCTGATATCATGGCTGATTTGTTTTGACCTTCTCATTGTGTAAAACAGGAAAGCCGTGAGTTTCAGGTGTGACCTTAAAATACATCCACAGGTGTGCCTCCTACGAAGCCTCCAAAGTCATCATCTGGTCTTCCTCACATTGCTTAAAGAGATAGTTAATCTTCTGGATGAAAACTTCAGATTTTGAAGACATTGATAAATACATCTTTGACATATTTTTTCTCTCCTTCTTTTTGGCATTTATACCAACCACAAATAACTTTGGTAATTCAAACCAAGAAAGTTTGTTCTAATCTGGAGATAGGCTTCAGCCCCTCTTGACCCTGCAAGTATAAGTGTTATGATAATGGATGGTTTCACCCAGCTACAAAGTAAAAACACAGTTTATCTATTGAATGTCTGAGTAAAAACCATTTTGAAAATAGGACATTTTCTGAAGGACAATGATTGACGTGAGGCTGTTTACACAGAATGTACCGTCACATTACGACAAGGACAAGCACCAGCAGAGTTGAAATATTTTTTGGCACTGCTTTCACAAAAATTAAATAGTCAGTGTGAACATCACTGACTTTCACATTCAGTGGACGAACTTCTGAGAGGAACAGAAATCCATTATTAAGGACACATAAAACATTTAGAAGGACGTGGTGAGATTTTCAAGGTTCAAATGGACTATTTACAACCACAGAAAACACCATTACTCACACACAGGCAAGTTTGTGCTTTTAGTCATATTAGCGCTATGTATTGACTTCCATTCTTTTTAGTTCCTGCATTTATGCCTGACCCTAACCTAAACTTAACCCCTAACCCATAAACAGGACATCTTTTTATGAGGTACAAGCTTTGTGTCCTATGAAGAGCACTCGGTCCCCACCCACAGCCCACCTATACCCAGGTGAGCTATAGTCTGGAGGATGCGTTTTGCTTGAAATGCAAACTCATTTGGACATGAAGAGGCAAGGGTTGGTAACTACCCTTGTGGCAATGGTATCCACAGTGTGTTTCTCAGTTCAGGTCCTCAGGGATCTCTGCCCTGCAGGTTCTAGGTGCTTCTCTTCTACCACACAAGGTGATTAACAGTCTTCTGTAGCACTTTGATGGCTGCAGAGGAGGTCATGCAATCATTTGCCTAACAGAGACAGATGTAAAATATGGAGTGGACTTGAGAAACACTGCCATAGAGGATCCTCTTTGAGCCCAATGAAGAAGAAACCTGCTCATTTCTCTGGGTTTGCTCCTTGGTCGCTCAGAGCCAGAGTCCATAACACCGTCTTGTACTGCATTCAACAATGCAGAGTGGGTGAAAAGATGAGTGACGAGAGTCAGACTCAATGGCAAATTTCACTTTAAAACACAGCAGTTAGAGCAGGCGCCTCGGATACAGAGGCTGTAGACCTCAGTGAAGGCGTCCCGAGTTCCACAGGACGTTCTCGGTTCTCTCTGCCTCCTTCCTGTCAGATTACCTTCACATAAAGGTGACCAGTTCTGAAAAAAATTCTTAAAAGAAAAAAACAACAACACAGAAATGAACCTTTGGATAAAACCAAGGGAGTATGTTGTCTACTGAGACGGTGAATTATCCTTCCACCGAAGCACTAAATGACTGAACTAGATGATTATTTTAAACCTTATTGAATATGAAAACTTGGAAAAATTAGATGTTTGATTTGAGAAAATTACGATTTTTTGAGAACGCCCATTTTGACATTTCAAGATTACAAAGGTGAGCTTGGTGATTAATCCCCAGTGTTAACTGTATCTTCACTTGATGTCCAAATGGTTCAGCTGATAGGAAATAACATAAAAAATAGAGCTGAACAAAGAAGTGTCAGCTTAATGTGATAATTTTACTCAAGTAAAAGTATAAAAATACGGTGCAGGAAAACTACTCTCAAAAGTAACAGTTTTACAAAAGGCTATGCAGCTGAGTAAAAGTAACGACTCACCTCTGGGTGTGCTTTCACAATAAATTCTCAAAATTTTGAAAATACTGTTGATATCAAGGCTATGAATACACTGCTACAGTCCACTTATCCTTTTTAAAATCTTAACATCTAATTTGCTTCCTGGTAGCAGACTTGAAGGTCCTTATAAACCAGACAAAAGCTGATTGCAGTTAAAGTTTGTACTGGTACTTTGCTACCCTTTCTGTCAGACTGTATTTTCTGTTTCTGTGCTGTTTGCCTAACAGAGAAGTTATTGGCGACCTTATAAATGAGTCTGCAGCAGTGTTTCCACTGTGTGCCCCATGGACAAATGGGATAAATCTAATTAGCTGAGAATACGTAACTCTGCTGTATGCCCAATGATTTGTGGCTCTAACATCCTGGCGAGCCGAAAAGCGGGCAGCACCCTGTCAGTGATGAAAGCATTTTGCACAGTGCAAGGCAGCAATCAGTCGTCTGCACCAGGATCTATTTACACTTTATTGAAGCATTCCTTTTTCCATTCAGCATGGTTCAGCGTGTGCTGGGGCATTTTGCATAAACCTGCTTGTACTGGAGAGCGTTGGAAAATCAACTGCGTGATGAATTCTCTCTTCTTCAGGGCTGTAGCTGTGATAAGGAAGCACACATTATCAAAATGGACAGGCCAGGATGGGAAAATAAATAGGACGTATTTACACAGCGAGGCTCGGAGATTCCCTCCGGGAGACTTAAACGCCATTTGAGAGAATTTGTGACTGGAGAACATAAATGTGCAGAACACCAGAGGCACAGTACATAAATCAGAAACCTTCCACTTTGTTCACCAATCAGCCACGCCAACTGTCAGCCGTGCTGAATAACACTGATCATCTTGTTACATTGTTGGGCTCCGTTGGGAAAACCTAAAAGCTAAAATGTAATGTGCAAAAACATGCAAACATCCTGCACTCCACAGATTCTTTAAGTATTCTTTAAGAACAGCTCTGCTGCCGGCTGAGTTCATAAAGTTGTACAAGCCAGCTGGCAGTACATCTATCTGATATATTTACCCAAGCCGAGACTACAGCGATGATGGAAATGCTTCTGCTACCTTATGGCTCCATAAGAATCATGAAAACATGTAGTCACCTTGAGAAATGGCTGCAATAATAGCAGCAGTAGATCTAGGGTTTCAAAAAGACTCTGTTCAGATGAAATAAGGAAGCATAATAGCAAAAGTATTTCCTGCAAAAACACAAAATCTAACCAGGTATTTACCAGGTGTAAATACCTTACAACACTTTAAATAAGGGAAAACTAACTTACAAGTAACTTTTCAGCTCGTTTATGAGCTTGTTTTATGTCAATAATTTCTTAATGTAGATGAAAAAAGTACTAGTTCCACTGGCTGATTATTTAATTTGTAACAAGACATTTTTCTTCAAGAAGAAAGGAAGAAATAAAGGAAATAAATCCATTCTCACCAGAGTCACACGGGCCCCTGTGGATCAGAAGGACCAGGGGACCATCTCTGAGGTTGGCTCTCCGGTTCTTGGCCCCCAGGCGACATATGCTGGGGTAGCCCTTCCGTCGCTGCCGCACACCTCTCCCACAGAGATGCACACACAGGAGCGGCGGACCCTGCCGGAGCGTCCCGGCACCCGGTCGCACCTCAGTCCGTCCCCACAGGACAGAAATACGTCGCTGCTCTCCCCGCATACCTCCCCTTCCCAGGCCCCGCACCGCACGCAGCAGCCGCAGGCGTCCTTCACCCGGTAGTGGCAGCAGGTGTGTGGAGGGACGGGACACTGAGACTGGTCGCAGACCTGGGGGCAGGTGGTGGTGTGTCTTTTTCTCAACAGACTTCTGTTGAAGAAGATTTTAGGTTATAATAAAATTTTGGGAAATCTTTGGTTCTATTTTCTTCTCACAGATCCCAGGTTCTCCCGGCAGGCCGAAGTGAAACCACACAGAAAACAATGAGTGTTGATATCACAGAATTTCAAAGTTTAATCCAATAGAAGACAACGTATGAAATTACAACAGAAACTGCAGGATAACAGAGACATACATTCATTTACCTGAGACAAATGGAAAAGAAGAAGAAAGAAAGAAAAGAAAAGACGTCTTTGGAGAATTGCAAGAGCAAATCTAATTTGTTACTCCTATGTAGAAAGTTTTATAGTAAAGGGGTATTCTTGTCTTTCATTTATTCAAATAAGGCGTATCTTTGCTCATCGAACCAGGAGCTGTCTCTGACCCTCTCTAAAGTTAGAAACTCCCTGCAATTTGTTTCCAAGATCAAAGGCCATTTGTCCCTTTGTCTAAACAAAGTTGAAGCAGAGACTCTCCTGTACTGGCCTGGACTCCTGCTGTTTTATGGCTTTTCACAGATCAGTGTAAAAGCTGGAACTTCTCCTGATTGTTTTCCACAAGGACAAAGGGCACTTTCAAAAAGATCTTAGTAAACCATCTGCTGTAACTACAGGTAAAATAAAGGTCAATAGGGCAGTATAAGTTATTAAACTGAAAACTATAATTAGGCTATTTCAATCAAGACATGTTAAGTTTTAAAACTAGCATATTTTAAATTTATTTTCTTAACACTTCATAGGACCGCAGATGTCAGGAGGGCGAAGAAGGCTACGAACTTCATCATAACCCTGGTTCTCTCTTTCTCTGGTTCTGGAACAGCTCAGCCCGGGTATCTGTTCCCTTACCAAAGAACATCTTTATACTTCATCTGTAGTAGCCTGCCGAATGGCTTCAGGCCAGCAATTAGATATCCGTCAGGTAGCAGCATGTTCCTCCTGGTTTCTCCTCCGTGTCGCTGTATGCTGTGTTCTCCTGTGCACTAACCTGTGTGGAATTTTCCAGAGAACTGCTCGACGTCTGAGACCACAGCAGACATTGTGGGAAACTAGATTTGGAGTTGAAGAAACAAAATTAAACAAATTAAGCCTGAACGTCATGAATTCAGAAATTTAAAAGGGTCCAGTCAAAGTTTGTGCATTAAACCAGGGGTTCTGATGGTGAAAATTAGCAACAATAAGGTTTGCTAAAATGTTGTCAGTATCATTTGGTGTAACACTAGCATTTTGACTAACGTGGACTCCAATCAGTTTGCTATGGAGGCGTTCCTGTAACCATAGTTGCCATAATCTAGAATATGACTGTCATTTTGATCAGGGTGTTTCTTTGAGGCAAAGGTAATGATGATTTGTTACAATACAGGAAACTCAGTCATGTTGTGTTGAATATTTTTTTCCATTTCTCACAGCACTATCATCAACTGCCCAGTCTCCTGATCACTTCCTGAATGCAGTGTCAGAAAGCCAAAAGTTTCTTAAAGAGACAGAAACCCAATTTCAAGACGTTTAATTATAAAGTCAAATTTCTTTTAAGTCATATTTGATACATCACAATCAGGTAACAGAGTTACTTGATTGGGTTAGAGTTCCACTCTAAGAAATAATCCTGTAAATTTACAGTCAAATGCTGAACATTGACCGTCACTTTTTCTTTTGAATGGTCTTTCCTGTATTTTTGGATACCATCTTCCCATGACCTGCTTTTGTGTCCCTTTCTAGGTTAATCCCAATGAAGCGACTAAAAAACAAAATAAAAAATGGGAAAATTCCTGAGAATATAAATAGTGTGGCATTCTGAAGCTGGTACAATATATAAATAAAGCTGTTTTTAATTACGTAAAGAGAAAACATCACCACCTTTGTCAAATGTTAATCATAACTTGCTTTAGAACTTTAAAACCATGTCATTGTAAAAAAAAAATATAGGAATGGTTTTACCGTTGAATGAACCAAAGTCTTGGCTGCCTCATGTTGATATTGGAGGTTGAAGATGAAGAAGATGGACAACACTGTCCTGTCTGGAATGTTGGCTGGACCCTCTCAAAGACAATATGGCCTTCAATGCTGACCATGTAGAAAACTGCAATAAACCAAGTCCTTAATTGGAAGAACATAAAACAAATCCTCTTATTGATACAGTATGCATGTAAATGATCATCATAATAAATAGTGTCCACTCTGCCAGGTAAAGTAAAAGCAAGGATCTTAAACTCCTCAACTGTCGTGCAAGTCACATCAATGTTGAAAACTGTAGGCTGGATTAATTTACAGAAGTTGCAGAGCAATTCATGGTACTTTGCACTGAAGGTGAAGTGTGCTTTGAAAGTTCATCAAAAGCTACCTTGGATGATCTTGTGATCACTGATGGTGAAAGGTCTTTGCAAACAAAGCCAATGAGAAAGTGCTTCAACAAAGAAGGAGGATCATTAGAATAACCACATACCTGCACATATCTGAAAACATGGTCTTCAAACCTATCTTTGAATTTGACTAAACAAGTGTTTAATTAGCATTGCATTTTTAACATACAACACCAACACTGGTAATCTAACACTTTTGATTATGCTCTGTAGATTTCGATTCATTCCCTAAAAGATTTATTATGGAAAGTATTTTTTTCTTTCCGTTTAATATTGTCTTTAAATGCTGGTTCTCTAAGATGCAAATACAAGTAAAATGTCTTGCCTAGGAAAAAAAAAACTGTATTGTACAATTATTTTGCATCTGTTTATCCTACTGATCACATTTCCAATCAGAAGACTGTCCTGAAGTTCCAGTTTCAATCAAACAACACTTCTTTAGAAGCTTTTTGTTCCTTGCGAAAGGACAGAAATAAAAAAACACAACTTTAGATCAACTTTTCAGCTCTTTGTTATTTGCTCACAGTTGGCTTTCTTTAAACAGACACAGGTTTCAGTGTAATTTTCTCAGTCCTTAATCTTCTGTGTTTGGTCTTGTAGACACCATAATGAACTGTCTGCTCTCGTTATGACCAAGAGAATAGGTGTGCATTGATCAGAGGCCTTTACTTTCCCCTCTCCCATGTTGGTCCTTGTGGGCGTCAGGGCTGCTGTTTGAATCAAAGTTAAAGAAAAGTCAATGCTGCTGTTGGAAAGATGATTTTTACTGACTCAGTGTCCAGATCATATCATATTTAGGATGTCACCTTAAAAGTCTCCATGAACCATTTGATAAGAACTTCCTTTTTGCCAATAAAGGTACTTGAAACTGCACTCCATGAGAGAAGAGTTGGACATCCAGAAAGCAGGGTCCATTTTGGACGTTGTTTGGTCCACTGCAGATCAGTGACTGTTTTGCATGTGTTTCTGTTTGCAGGGATCTAGGAACTGGAACCAGAGGGCCTAAGTGGTTCATTACCAGTCAGATGACTGTTTTGAGGCAGGTGCTAAATCCTCCAGTCAAAGAAGTGAAAGAAGGTCACCAGAAAGAAAATGTCTCAGAAATCCACCGTATGCAGGGCAAACTCCTACTACCACTGCCTCCACCAATCCGTCGTAAATCACAAAGATCTCAATAATTTCCTTCTGCATGATTTATCATTTTTTCTCTTTTCTCTCTTAATTCCAAAAGCTGGATGTGAAAAGTCTTCAGTCTAATGCTTTGGCCTCAACTAGCCCTTATTTTGAAGGACTATTTTGTTTACAAGCTTCATAATTAATTTTATTTGTTGTTTCTGTTGGTTTGTTTTAGTTTGGATTTGTAAAATGTCTTCCAGTTCCAGTGTTAAATGTATAGCCTGTGTTGTCTATTAGAATTTAAAGTTTATGGAGCTTTTAGAATGTGTTCTTGCATTTTGATGCCAAAAGCAAAAAGCATAGAAATAAATGTTATGTAGTTTTTCATTTCCCTGCTCAAAAACACATTAGGCAAGCAATACTTAATAAACAAATCAAGTAGTCTGATTATTTGTAGCAAAGGGACAAAAAAATCTTAGCATTTATTCTATTTTCAGCAATAAGAAATGGACTTGGATAAAAAATTCTCTAAAAAAACCTCAATATATTCATCCAAGTTTAACGGCTTAATTAAAAACAGATTTGAGAGCCATAAAATCAGCTTTTTAGTCATTGCGTGTTTTGCTAACCAAGTCCAGGGCTTTCCTCAGTGTTTAGATTTTAAAGGACTCTTCTTATTTAGTGTTGATGGAGACAGATTGTCCATCCGTGTATTTCTCTTCTCCACACTATGGTCAGTGACCCTGTCATTCTGTCTATTACAGAGACGTGATAAATGCTCGATAGGCTCTGATCAGCAGCCACACTGCAAGCAGCTGCACCAAGCACATAACACACACACACACGCTCACACATACATGCACGCACGCACACACGCACACACACTCACACTGTAAAACACTGTAGTTACCCGGTGGTTGGTGGATTTCACTCCCTTCTGCCGAGGTGGGACATTGGAAATGAAGTGCAGATGTTTTTGGTGTGTGCATAGTGATCTCGTTCAGGATGCAGTAGCTGCACTTTGATTGCAAATGTGTGCAAAAAATTGTTTATATCCTGCTAATGTTGACAAAAAGACAAATTTGCAAATGTTGTATTACAGTCAGTTCGTTTTACTGCCATGTTTAATTTATTTAATTTCCCTTTGGAATCAACAAAGTATTTTTGAGTCTAAACTTGAACGGAACATGGCTCAACATGGACGTCAGACCATTTGAATTATTAACATCTATTCCAGCATCAGCACCAAAGTGGCTGTTTAAAACATCTGCTTGAAGCCCCGATGATAGCAGTCCAGTAGGGTAAAGATGAATAATAAATGCCTCACCTGTTGACTGGTTTTAAATTAAACAGACTTCTAATGATGACCTCGTGACCATACAGTGAAGAACAAGGGATTAAGTAAGAAACAACATCTGCCAGGTTTCATTTAGCCTTTTTCTGTGGTCTTGAAGACACTCAAATCTAATCAAATTTTCTCAAACTGATCAATCAATTACATGCAGAAATACCTAAAGCCTTCTTTGCTGTTCAGCTCTGTCTGAAGCTGAACCCTGCAGCCTGTGTTGTCTGAGCCAATCGACAGGAACACGCTCTGCGTTGCATTCCTCCTCCAGCTGATCCCATAATCACCAAAGTGAGACACAGTGAGGGCGGACTGGGTGGAATTCAATTTTGCTGATTATTGTGGTATGATTATAATTACAGTATGACCACAAGATAAATGGATCACATTGAACACGGTGGAGATAAAAAGACGTACATCAGACACAAAAAAGCAGTCACCCAACATTTCCATAACGGCAGAGTGTTGCCAAGCAAATCTTTATTTTTTTCCACTTGTAGCAGCTGTTCTGCCTGCTTCTTTAGCATACAAATCCAGTCATTTCCTCTGGAAAATTCATAATTGTTAAGCGTGTTACAGAGGGTGTGGAATAAAGCTGGCTGTGTCCTCTGTGGAACTTCCTGATCAGAAATGGCCTAGTTTCCACCTTCTGGAGGTCGTTCCACTGACTTTGAAACGATGTGCGTCGTCCTCCTGTAACAGAAAGTCCAGATCACACAAACCTCCTGCTCCCCTGGTCTGTAGTGAGCTCTGCTGAGCCAAGACTCTTCACAGCATTGAAGTGAGCCAGGCCTCTGCCTCTCTCTGCTTTTTTGGGGTTGATGTCAGTGAAGCTGCTACAGCTGGAGTGCCCACTACCAGCCAGTAGGGGGCAGAAGCAATCTATATTTGATCCTCAGTGTGGTCTGGGCCCCCCCCATCTAATTTGGGGCAAGATGTACAACGGAGGGGTTGGATTTTTTAGCTCCGCTGCCTCTGTAGACCCGTATGCAGCAGGGAAGGGCTGCTGCTCCCAAGGTCAGCCATCTGAGGACCAAG